TGTTTAAAAGTAGTATTTAGTTCCTAATTTTTACAGTTGGTAGGTTTTTACTTTGTCATGTTTGTTTTCCCTTTCTTTTATCATATCAGTAGTTTAAGAACACGGCCTCTTGGAAGACCAACCTTTGTAAAAAGATTGAAATGAGTATCCGTGGATAAATAAAGTTATTATTTATGTTCCCTCCTGTAAGTGGCGAATTTTATGTTTGCTGTTGGCTGGGATAATAAATAAATAAATAAATAATAAAATAAAAATAAATTATTATTATTATTAACCACCCCCTTTGGTTGCCGTGAAAAAAAAATGATCACTCGTCTTGTGTGTGTGTGTGTGTGTGTGTTTCTCGTGTACAGTACATGTAGTAGCCGGGCATTCTATTTTAAGCTTTACTTCTTTTCAGATGCCATCTAAGAGTGCCTGGCCATCTATTAATTCAAACAAATCTCTAACGGGATACCCCCTCCCATAATTCCCCCCCCCCTTGGCAACCATCCCCCTCCCCTGCTAAAGCCTAGATCTGTTACTGCACTGCGTCGCACTATGGTCCTACAACAAATCCAACTAAATTCCCTGTGATTGCTACACGGCTGCTGATTAAATGTGTGGACAGCTATAAGCCAATTTTTTCCCCTTTTTTGGGATACTGTAAAACTAATTCCTCCATGGTAAAACCTTGAATAGAATACCTGGGCTTCTATTTTTTTGGACTTTTGGTTGGGCTTCTTTTTGAAATGGTCTTCGCTTTGAGACCACTTGTAAAAACGAATACTGTAAATTTCAGAATTTACTACTATAAAACTTTGGGACTACTGAAAACATTTTTCTTATCCAAACATTAGAGAGATATCAGTTTGTATCAGGGAGTGGACATATGGCTTCTTTTCGAGATTGGCTTCTTATTGAGGTTACATTTGCAAACTAGATAGGGAGGCTTCATTTTGAGGTGTGCTTCTTCTCAAGATTAAGCAAATAGGACTTTCGGTTTTTTCGGTAAGTTTCAGTCTGGTAGCTAACAAATGGATACCAGGAACTATTATATAGGTCATTGATGTATGAATGAATGCGATAGAATTCCTCAAAGAACTGTAGAGCAAATTAAAAAAAAAAATCTTATCCTACATAATTAACCAACTTACCTTACCTCAATGGCCTCTCATTTGTGTATGGGGGATATTATGATTTGTAATGTTGGTAAAAATAAGTAATAATTAATTTTGGAAAATCCAGATTTCATATATATATGCTTTCCAAGAATATGTGTGCATTGTCTCATAATTAAAGTCACAAGACACAAGGTACACAGGTTGTAAGTATTCTAAAAAGTAAGTCTAATCCATAAAATATGATAAGTAGAATTTTATATATATATATATATTATTTTTGGAAAATCCAGATTTTGAACCCAGCTGTTTTATCCAACCATATCTTTTGTATTTGTAATGAATGTACTTTGTACTCATCGTAGGCATGGATACAGTCGATCGAGATAATACATGAATACTATCTAAAAGCAAGTGACTCATCATTTTTATTATTATTAATTTTAACCATTCTAACAGAATATTCAGTGGTCGTTGACACTTTAGCACACACAACAGTAGGACTAATAATGTCAAATAGTATTATTTAGGATATTAATGTGGAGAAATAGTAAATATAACGTAAGGTTACTTTTCTATTCTATATATATTTTACGGTATATGAATTACAGAATGGACTACGGTATTCCATGGTGCTCTATATAAAGCTGCTTATGCTTGGGTAGAATTGTCATCAGACAAAACTTCAATGATTTGGACCAGTGATGACCAGGGGCAGATCCTGTGGGTGGGGGGATGTTTAACCCCCACCCCATCACGATGTGTATAAGAGACAGCTCTTGTATCATGATTCCACTATGAGGTCACCAGATTAAAAATGTTAACTTACCCTTCCAAATACGGGGACCCTAGTGGATTGACGCGATGGCATGCATTTCAATACTTGGAAGCCTCTCTTATGGAACCCTCTCTTATGGAACCCTGTTGGATTATTATAAGCTATTTAACCCTACTTAGTGATAACACTGTTAATTATTGTTAATAAATAATAATAAATTGGAGAATTTGTAAAGCGTCTGTTAGAAAATATGTTTACAATGAGACCCTTATACTACTGCTATAACACACTGTTACCAAATGTAGATGATCCCTAAATTAACAATGGAATAAAACACGTAATAAATATATTAATATGATCCCTAGGCATGAATAAGGCCATGGGGAATTTTTCAGGGTGTTCTAGGAACCAAAAGGGATCCTCTTGTATGTTTTCAGACATACAATTAATATGCATTTTTATATTTTTATATTTTTTAGGTAAATCTGAAAGGGGAAAAAGCTGTTACAGGGAAGTACTAAACTATACAATGTGCACTCAACCTCCTTGGTCTGATACTGTACATGGTAGTACTGGATGACTATTAAATCATAAGGTAATTAAAAATATTTCATAAGTAATTATTGGGAAATTACACCTTTATATCGGTAGCACACACAAAGGTTGTACATCCATGTTACACAAATTACAAAAAGAACACATATAAAGTATACAATGAATTAAATGACTAAACTTAATTAACAAGAATACATTGAACACTTACTTATAATTATTGACAAATAATAGTTAAAAAAAAAAAAAAAGAAGAAAACTACTCCACACAAAGATGTATAACCAATGTATAGCAGAGCACTTATGACCAATCTGAGCCAAAATTTTCCCGCCTTTGATATTCTATTTAAAGGAAATGATTAAAACCCTTTCAATGTTTACATTGGCCTGACTGAGACACTGGCAGCGCCCTACCTGGTAGGCAGAAACGATAACAAAATACACTGTCTGGTGTTTTTTTTTTTTTTGTGCCAAAAATATGAAAGCTGCATGAATGAAACTCACATGGCATAGTTACATATATTAGGAACCGACAACAAAAATAAAAAATCTAAGAAATTATATTTTTTTAAATATTTATATTCAATTTTTAATCTTAATATGTGGAGTATTAGAACCGTCCTGTCCATGGCAAAAATGGTCTGACCTGACTGTTGGAAAGCTCCACTCAATCCTTCCTCCATATCTACAGTCGCTAATTTTACTGAAATATTTCAACAATTGGACTGACGACAAAGATGAAAATTATAGGGGGTTGCATAAAAATTTTCAAAGTCTGAATGAGTGCCATTTCTGGGCATCTAGAGTTGCCACAATCATTATTTGCTTTGCGACTCCCAGTATAAAATGAGACTGCAGGTCCTTGATTAGACCTTTGCAATGCCTGTGAGGGAGGGGTATCCCGGGAGCATAGCTTCCATTGGGAAGAAGTCAAAAACGTTGTCGAGGCCGGAAGCTTTTTACCATCTGAGATTGCCATTTTGAGTGTCTAGAGGGGCCTATTCTTAAAATTTGGTGGGTGTGGACTACCTATTTCCCCCTCTCATCCGCTCCTGCATAGATAGGACATGAATATATTACTCTTATTTCCTAAACTGTGAAAACCCTAAAATTACATTTTATATGTTCCGTATTTAAATATTTAAGTAGGGCTCATGCCTTTATGTTTTTTAATAGTAATTTCTTGAGTATTAAATGTAAGCCTTCACATTTGGAATATGACCATAGTGGTGAACTTAAAACCCTATGTTTTGTGTATGTAGTTTTTTTATGTACGGTATTGCAAAATTTTTTTTATATATATTTTTACTATATGTGGCAAAGACAAGCCAAACCAGTTACTCGTCGCAAAATTTTTAGTTATTAATATAGGGTTAAACAGTAAAATGAGAGCTATAAAATGGTAAAGAATCATTCAAATCCAACATTTCGTTATGAAGTTACAGAAGTTTAAACATACAGCTGTTTAAAGAACAATATTTAAACAATCAGCCTTTAAAGTTTATGATTTTGGGGAATTACTAAATTGTTTAAAAAAATTGTTGTTTTAACATTGAAAATGGGGAAAATAACAGTATGGCATGATATATAGATATATAAAGGTAATTTAAAATATTGTGACATTCCAGCATGTTGTGGTCGTTATCTCTGAAACAGGATTTGCGACGAGTGACTGATTTGGCTTGTCTTTGCCACATATACTGTAAACGTATGAATTAGCCATCAACTATGAAACACTGGACCTTGCGGGCTGGCCTCAAATCCCAACAATGGGCATGCCCCTGGACCGTGTTTGGTCCCTCCGCCGATCTCCAGAGCTCTTAGAGCCCCGAAGCCCAGGGCCGCTAGTCAGTCAATTTTTTTTTGTATGGGAGCCGCAATTAAGTCACACTGTCCGGTCAGGAAAGACTATAAGCATAAGAATCATGAGACTTACTCTTTATGATACATTAAATTGCTAAGGCCCTCTCCCCCTCCCCCCTTCCCTGAGGCCAAGGACCCCTGTAGCACATTCTCCCATTTTTTATCAAAATGTTAGTATGTATGCTTATTTCCTTAGAACTGTTTATAGTAACTCAGTTACTCAGATTGTATTTATGAGCTATTAATGGAAAAACCAATTCTAATTATAGATATCATGACGTATATAGGTATGAGATCATGACAATATCGACAATGTCGATAATATATAAATCACCGCAATTTTCTCTTATTTCCCTAAACCATGCAAAATGTGAAGCCCTGCAACTACATTTTAGCATGTTTATTTGAATATTTATGTAGGCCTCATGCCTTTCTGTTTTTTAATAGTAATTTATCCTAAGCAATAGACCTAGGCCTTCATAGGATCTGTTATTGCTCCACAGGGTAACGGGGTAAATGTGTTTTATACTCCCTTGTCTCTGTTTACCTAGAAACCTATTTTTACCTGCAGAGTGGCCTAATTATGAGACCTAATACTAACATAAATTCTTCTATCTAATCCTATAGGAAATCATTCATGATGAACTTTAGACTATGTAGTCAAGTATCTCCATACTAGTGAAAATATTACAAAGAAAATCACTTACTATAGGCTCCAATTGAGTTAATAGTTTGTGCTGACAGCCGTAGAATCGTCTAGACGTTGTGCACTGATAGAATACCTTCCTTTGTGTGAGGGCAGTATTCTTAAATTCGCCTGGCAAAATGTGGTTAATATTAAGTGAGGGGGTTGAGGCATGAAGTTATAAAAATAGAAGTAGTGCGTGGTTAGCCACCACTAACATTTTGCAAGTCTTCATTTTATTTTAAGAATTTATAGTACTGAAGTGAGGAAGGTTGAAATGCATTGTTGAGATTAATTTTAAAAAAAAATTAAAATGGTATGGTGGGATAATACTGAAAGGTATGGAATATCTCCATAGTGCATTTGAAATACCGTATTTACTTGAATAAACAACCCTGGGCATTTATTTTGTTGAAAAGCGATTTTGAGGGGTGTTTATTCGAGGGAAGTGTTCTTAAAGTGGGCCAGATCATACCCCAGGAGCTCACTTGTATACGAACCAAACTGGTGGGTGTGGGAGTGGGGGGGATGGGGTGCAGCAGCCACTTCAAGACGTGAGTCACTTGCGCTACCTATTTTACTGAAAATTATTATGTAAATCCCTCATATTTCCCGCGATTATGCTACCAAGTACTCGAAAATATAACCCGTAAATGCGGCACTTCCATGTACAGAAAACTAACCCCTCACAGGGATCAAACCGCTCTTTTCCATAATTAATATGGAAGTAATGGTTATTCTTTGTGTTACATTACATATGTTGAACTTTATATCTGAAATAAATAAATGAATAAATACTGTAGTGCAAATCAACTGACAGAAAATTGTAAATAGTGTCTTTAGGCTCTCTCCACTTAGCGAGTGGGTTGAAAAACAAAATGTGCTGATTGCAGAGCTGGTGTCCCATCCAGTATGTTGCTGATCCATGATCCAATTATATTATGTTAACAAAATCTAAGTCAGACTTAACAAGAAAAGTGAACCAAAAACTATTTCACGTACTACACTATAGCAATTAATTTATTTAAACACAATATCAGAAAATATTTGGGTCCAGATGGCTTTTTCATATAACTAATGTTGGCAGTTGTTTAAGCAAACCAGGAAAACACAGGATAACAAGTCATTCAATATACATGTATTATATTCAGCTAAAACCTCTTCATCATTTATACATGTCATTATCATTAATTATATTAAGTTAAAAAATAGAAGTTCATTCGGAAATTTCCAAATGAATTACAGTATTAACATTTTTTTACTAGTGTACGTCTAGCACATTGGCAGGGGAGGATTGTGGGAGAGGTGGGGGTGTTATTGGATACTTATCTAACCATGGAGGATGATATATTGAAATTGGTGGACCATTGTATAAAAAATTCTGAATCCACCCCTACGTTGTTTTGTCTCCTACACAGATCAATAAACTTAGAATATCTTTAAGAAAATGTCACAATAATGGCAATAGCATACAGAATTTTTTAAAACTAGAAATTAATGTGTGATGGTTGAGCATCATGCACTTGTTTAAAGACTAAGGAGAGCAATTAGATATGAAATTAGTCAACGTTTTAGGAGGACTTTGTAATAATTACATTTATGTATTTAACCTACTTAAAACCTATCTCTTTAATCAATAACTCTTTTATCTTTAAGCACCAGTGATATATATTTTTTTCAAACAGGCGCTATACAAATTCTCCAATTTATTATTATTTATTTATTGTACATACCCATCATCAAAATAAAACACATTCTTAAATCCCAACATAGAACAGTACTGTTTTTTAGGCATTCTGGATTTAATAATATTGTATGTCATGTTGACACGACAGTCACTTTCTGTTTTTTTTTTTTTAGTGTGTATACACATTTGTAATACATTTCAATAGGCCTGTAACATAATTGACCTATTTAAACGAACATAAGCCTTTATCTTTCATCTGAATTGCTTCCTGTTGTTCAGTATACACTAGCCTATGTTGGTTCTCGTTTTTTATCAATGTATAAACTGTGTACTTGCTAGTCAAATACCTCTGTATATCTGTATTGTAAAAAGGCAATTGAATTCTTAAAAATTATACTGAGAATTAGGCCTATGAGCCTACATAAAAAAAAAAAATTATGAACATACCTGTGCACTATTTTTTCAGACAAACTAAAATATTTTTCAGCAGAGCCATGTTGGAAAAGAATGAAATCGCTTGACCCTTCCTTTGAAGTAATGTCTGTGTTTATAAACGTTGAGGGGAGTATAACAAGGTTTTATTCTGTAGTGATTTTGAATTGTTTTATTGTATGACTCATATTTGGTGAATCCCTCCAGTTATATTGCGTGGGTGTATTTGTGTTTCAGGTGGTTGATGTGTTCTGATACCCTGGATTTTCCTGGAACATCATTCAGGGTATTCGAGTGTAGGTAAAACTGACTGCGGTAAAAATGGCCCCTGTAAAAATTTCCCTGGTAAGAATTGCCTTGGTAAAGATAGCCCCAAATGACAGTTACTGTAGGTAAAAATGGCCCCAATAATATAATTCTGTATCATAACAGATTTTTTTAAATCATTATGCATATTTTAAAAAACTTAAATAATTAGTTTTTAAAAAGAATCGAACAACAATTAAATTTCCATTTATATTTTACTTTTTGCAGGAATTATTCATAGGAACTATTCATAGATGAAAAAAATAAGCCATGAATAATATTAACAAATTTTTTTTTTCATTTAAATGTTAAAAAATAGCAACAATTTAATCAGTAAATCAACATAAATCATGCATTTTTTAAATATTAAAATAATTTAGTTGTGGCCAATTTCACGGAAGTGGAATCATCACAATTTTCCATAAATTTTTAACTTCAATCTGCAAAGGATGGGTCGAAATATTGGTTTTCTCCAAATATATATATATATATATATATATACTATATAATCTCAATTTTCATTATTTAGTATAGTCTTGATTTTAGTTGGCGGTGAGTAAAAACCAGCTATGCAAATTAAATAAGTTGATTAAATAAATGTATTACTAATTATTCAGAAAAAAAAATAAATGGCAACTTATTTGACATTCTTTCTTTATTTTCTTTCTTTTATTTTTTATCCTGGGGGACTGCCCACAGATAAAAATCCCTGGTCCTCCACAGATCTATTACCATTACCAGTAGATTCTTTAAAAAGAAAAACTAAGTTATTTTAGTTTTCAAATATGCATATACTGTATATGATTTATGTTGATTTATTAATTCAATTTTTCCTACAGGGTATTTTACAGCATTTAAACATTTTTTTTAAATTGAATTGGGGGAAATTTTTTAATTTATTGATTCAATTCTTGCTATTTAACTGTATAAAGAAAAATCATTTTTATCACTGAATTTTTCTCATTGGGGCCATTTTTATGGCGGCCAGCCATTTTTAACAGGGCTACTTTTACCAGGGCCATTTTTACCAGGGAAATTTTACCACACATCAGGGTGTTCTGTTGTTATCATGAAAACTTACCCATAATAGCAATTCATTACCCTCTTTTTGTAGCTCATACGTTTAAGCCATTATGTTTCATAATACTGATATTCTTTCAAGTATCACTTTTTTGATTAGAGCTTAATGTAGCTCAGTAGTTAGCTTTTGTGTGCAAAGCCATTTTTGATGTTATACTATGCTTGCTGCTGCTAATGCAATATGTGAAGTATCTGCCGTATATTCTTGCTTCTATTAGGTACCTTGTTTTTGTCCAGAAGAGAACAAATTATGATTAAGGTGATTAAAGTAGCGGTTTAAACTTTACTGTAATGATGTTAAATTCCGTAACTTAATTGCTTAATATTTCTCCGGATGGCATGGGCTGAAAGAGTTGTGTTGTGGTGACACCTATACAAAAATGTTTTACCTGAACCTTATCTGCAACATGATGAGAAGTCAACCACTTTATATCAGTCAACTTTGATTTAAAATGTATTCAATTTTAAACATTCTGAGTAAGTACTAATTTTTTATGATTCTTTTTAAACTTGAAGGGATTTGTAACATCCAATATTTTAATCAAGACTTTTGAAATATCCAAAAACTACAACTCTTTTATTAATCATCTAAACTAATAAGGAAAACGAGCTTATTAAATGAACCATTGTTCGGTTGAGACGTTAAGCCGTTGGTCCTGTGTGCATTTATGACCCATGTGCATATTAAAGAATGCAGTACACTCTTCAGAAAAGAGTGTACTGCAATAAGTTTTCTTCTAGATTTCGTGGGCTATCCTTTGTGTTTACATTGAATAAATTCAACTCTACTCTTATGATTACTCTTACCCTAGGAGCCAGACCAGGTTTTGTATGCACTTTGAGGTGCAGAGAATTTGACTTCAGAAATTGGTTCAATGTGGTCCAAGAATCATTTTTGGCTTGGTAACATATTTTCAAAATGTGGAAAAAGGTCAAAAGGTCAGGGTCAAAGGTCAAAGCTATAAGGTCCTTGTTTCTCTGCAACCACAGGTGGTAGAGAGTTGAATTTGGTGCCAAATTGTTCGGAACATGCATATTTCTATTTGCTCTAATGGAACATTGTGCTAAAAAATGACCGGAAATGCCGTTTCTGACCTTTGACATGCTTCAAGGTCATAGCCATATTGTCCTTATATTTCCGCAACCACTGGCGGTAGAGAGTTACTTTTAGTGTTAATTTGTTCGGAAGATTTATGTTTCTATTTGGTCTAATAAAAGAGTTGGCTAAAATATTACCGGAAATGCCATTTCTGAACTTTGACATATTTTATATATGATAGCCATTGAGTCGTGATTATCTCCGCAACACTGGTGGTAGAGAGTTAATTTTGGTGCCATTCACTACAACAAATGCCCACAAATACCTTGGTCTCACAATAGACACAAAGATACTAGAAATACAAGATAGAGCACTCGCATTGTAAAAATGAGGTGGAAATCGTGCCCAACGTTGGCGGCGCCCTTCTGTTGCTAAGTATATCCAGACGCATACGGCGCCCTTCTTTTTCCACTAATGGAGGAAAACTTTATCACTAGAGTGCGTCCGGCCATACGATTTTGCGATATT